GATACAAGAGCCAACTCTAACAGCCTGGGTGCGATCAGTTAAGAAGCTGGTCGCGGTCTGAAGAACTGCTTCATTGACACCATACGTGAAGAGTTTGTGAATCACTATATTGTGGTTGACACGATCGAAGGCTTTAGAAAAATCTATCGTGCAAAGGGACGCACAGTAGCCAGGCCTATCTAAGCCCTTGAGGATTGTATCCACTAGGCTCACCAAGTAGTGGGTTATTAAACTGCCTTTAATGTTGCCAAACTGACGATGGTCAAGATGGGGTGTGAGGTCTCTCATCAGATACAGTGAAATGAAACCTTCAAACACTCATGAAAATATCGGAGTTATCGATATGGGTCTCAAATCGGAACAGCTTCTAACTGGGTAGGTTTTAGGTACCGGTGTTACAGCGCAACATTTCCAACGCGATGGGAAAGAACACGACTTCAGAATGGAATTGAAGATGGCAGATAACGGAGCAGAGATCTCTAGGGCGAATTCTCTGATCAGTCGAACCGGAGTATCTTCAGGATGGATAGCTTTAGATGGATTTAGCTTCTTCAGCGCTTGAAAGACTCTGAAGCGCTGAATGTCGGGTGGTGGTCTTCTGGTAGGTAGGTAGGCCGGGCTAGTCGTGGTATCAAGGGCAGGTAGTTCAGAGCATATACCTGCAAAGAAGTCGTTGATATGATTTGCCTGCTGAGAATGGCACATGCCGAAGTCATCTGGAAAACTGTAGGAAATACGTTTACTCAAACTAGCAAGAGAGCGTATTTGACGGTGCGACGAGCCAGGATTTGAGTTCTTCATCGCTGCAATCTTTGAGCGATAAAACGTAGACTTCAGTTTCACAATTGCGCGCTGAATTTGGTTGCGGATACTCCTAAAAGAAGCCAAGTCACCCCTTTCAAAGGCTCGTTGTCTCTTCTGGATGTCAGTTTTTATCTTGTCATTGATCCACGTGTTTCTGTGACGCGATAATTTAGTTTATGAAGATGTAATTTCATAACCCAACAAACACGGGAGTATTTGGTTTACAAACCATGGTCTCCAAGGTAGGGATAATCACGTTATTATAATGGTGATATTGCAGTGACAATTGCGGGATTTAGTGTACGTGTGTTTTAAGTGACCTAGTGCAATAAACGTATTAACACATTTACGTAAATGTCAGGTGTTTGAAGAACGGAACTCTCCTCAAGTCGATACCTTGATATTGACGTGATTTTCACGTGATTTTGTTTATTGGGTAGCATAACAATTTCAGAATACCACCTCATGCAGGCCTCCGGTGCCTAGGCCCTGTAACATTGAAAGTTACCATTAATATTATCCCAAATCTTGCTTGTACATGTATCTCCTTCAATAAATTGAAACAAAATAAATAATAGCAACTTACCACTGCCTTTATGTTACAAGTAAATACAATGATTAATAAGAAAAAAATAATTTCAGCAAACACTGAAAATACAACAGATTTTTACAATTGATTGGATTGTTAGTCACTGCATATATGTTACAGGGCCAATATCCTATCCCCTAAACCTATATTTCATCTTCTTTCCTCAAAATCAATTCAGGGAGGATGCGGTTGACCTGGAAGACTTGGCAAATCACCTCTTAGGTCTATGATAAGGATGACCTATGATGCACATCACAGCCATCAGAATACCTTCGAGAGCCACACAATGGCAGTGTACAACCATCCAGATCGCACAGCTTGATTATATGCTTCTCGATCGTATAGACCTATCTCCAAGAGGGTTGTACGACACTTGCTACTGTGACAGTTGTTCCGCGTCGGTTTCCTACACTTAGCAAAACTCCAACTTCAACCTCGGACTTAAAGGGATCATTTAACAATGTTAAATCTGAGATACACGGCCCTACGTGTTATCAGTGTCTGTGATATGGTGTAATATTGAAGCCCTAAAAAAATCGCGCTTCAAAATGATCAAGAAGTTCCTCAAAAAAGTAAAAATCTTTGAGTGACCGGTTTTACCATACTCGTTTTCCCCAATAGACTGTAGTGTTATGAAAACCGTTCAGCAAACGGTTTTCAAAATTTGTAATTCCAATCATTAATATCTTGATAATCAGAAAGACGATCGGCTTGTAAAATTCATGGAGTTCCTGACTGACCTAAAGGTTTATAATTATCATTGCAGCATGAGCTAAATCAAGGGTTATTTCTTAAGGATCTAAGACAAAGTTACCGAATCGCTTTAAACATATTACTGTTAAGATAAATTTATAGTATATAACACTAGTACTGAAACAGCAAATTCAATGTACTTTGTATCACAACATAGCAACGTTATATTCATACACATTAAATATATCATATTATGTGTACCTAACCGTAAACATTATTACCTGAACTCAAAGTAAAGTGCAACCCTAACCCTATATATTTCATAAAGTAAAGCCTGGATCATAGGATCAAATGTTGACCCTCCATGGCATCTTTTGTGACAAGCATTTTTCCCCCTCTTCCACAGGATTCCCTTATTAGACAACAGCATACATTCATCTAAAAATACGCAACATAATCTATAATCATGCAAAATTCCACATTGACATCACTTGGTCAAACTAATTTTTAAAATTGTACCTAAGCAAAATTCCATCAGATACCGCAGGCAAATCCTTTTATATGGCAGATGATGACCGTTAAACGTAAACACAATATTAAAAAAAAGATTTACTAAAACTTTTTTTTCGTGAATTTCTTTTCTCTTAGATTTGTTTTAGCAATACAGTGTGGAAGTGGAATTGCATTACGAGGACCCTCTTGCCATTAAAAGTTTTAAAATGTCAAACACAACTCAAAAATGTAATTTCCACTTTTTATGGAAGAGCCCCCAGAATGAATATTGACTATGAGGTTGATTTGTATTGTGATTGTAATTAAAGTATTAATAGTACCATGTTGTACTCAATGTTATGCATTCTGTTCAGGTTCACAGGAGTTGATTATACACAGTTGGGCCCCGAAAGTTTACATGCACCTGGAAGAAACTCATTTTACTCAGATTTTCTCAACTGCACTCATTCCTATCAGGATTCACTTGTCTCAGAGTGATTAGTGATGTATATACTATATATATTAAACAGACACCATATTTGTTTATCTTCCTGAAGTGAAAAGTTGGCAGGAATGAGTGAAGTTGTGATGTTTTGGGCCCAATTTTACATGTATGTAGATCTATAATTCTGGGATTATTCCAGTACTTCATAATGTTTTTCTTTTTTCTTTGTCTTCTTCCATTCTTTGCCTTCTTCCAAGTTGTGTGTGCCTTATGCTTGGTATATAATATAAACAGAGATAGAATGTGTTTATCTTCCTGAAGTAAAAAGTTGACAGGAATGAGTGAAATTGCGATAATGTATATCTGGCCCAACTCTACAATTAAGGAATTATTCCAGTACTTGATAATGTTTTTGTTTTTTCTTCATTTTCTTCAATTTTAAGTATCACTAGATGTGTACCAAGTTGTGTTGCATTATGCTTTGTATATACTATAAATAGAGACAAAATTTGTCTATCTTCTTGAAGTGAAAAGTTGGCAGGAATGAGTGAAGTTGTGATAATGTATATCTGGTATCTGGTATCTGGTATGTATGTACATACCACAATTCAATGATTATTCCAGTACTTAATAGTGTTGTTGTTTTTTCTTCTTCCATTTAATTAACCATCAGGCCTCTGAGTAGATATGTACCAAGTTTAGTGTGCCTTATGTTGAATGCCTGCATATATGAACAAAGTGGTCATGTGATTTGATATTAGCCTTGATGCCAAGAGCTACTTGTATAGGAGGGAAATATGCATTGAAACCCTGAACTCTGTGACATGTTGAATTTGTCAAAATCACCATTTTTCAATACAAACTAGCATACCAGTGTGTGTTTACTGTACAACATACTTCTCATCAGTGTATAAATCAATATCAAGAAGAAAATCTGATCACTGTAGTCCAAATCATATGACCATCATATGACCTTATGGTTTGTAAGTGTACAGCCTTGTATTTATGATATGCAAAGGATTCCAAATTAACTGAAATTGAAATGTTATTACATCTGAAATATGTTCATAACAAACATTTTTGTGCAAACCATGTTTATGTGTACAGAGTACAAAGATTAAATTATTTGTTGCATTTCTTATTCCAAGTCTGAATTTATGAATTATTCGTAAGGTTTTAATCCAGAGAGGGAGGCAGGGAGGGAAGGGAGAGAGATGAGGGTGCATGTGAGTGGCGATGGAGGGAGGAAAGAATGTGAGGGAGGAAATGGAGAAGAAACGGAGGGAGAGAGAGATGAGGGTGCATGGGAGTGGGGGAAGAGGGAGGGAGAGGTATACAGTGAGCAAGAGAATATAAAGGAGAGATTTAGATCATAATTACGGATGTAGAGATAGATGGCCAATATGTACCAGTAAGAGGAAGGAAGGAGAGAAAGGAGATCAAAATCTTGGGGTGTATGAGAGGGTTGGGGGGGGGGGGGTGTTAGGGGAAGAGAAGTGAGAAATAGAGCAAGCAAACGAGAGAAAGGAGAGATTTGATAGATGTATGATAGAGGTTTGGGGGAGGGGTACATGCAGTGGTGTAGTGAAGTGGAAGATATGGCATGGAATAGAGCGGGTATTTTTTTAAGAAAAGTGAAAACCAAATTCCAATAACTTTCTATGACCCATCTTGCCTTTTTTGATAACCAGACAAGTACCATTTTGATGTGCCTGCGGCATCCAAGCGGCATACAAATTTGTAAGTTCTAACCGTAAGGCCCACACCCACAATCAATTTCCATGACATTCCACGACTTTGGGATTTTTTTTTCTTCATTTTCCATGACTTTCCAAAAAAAAGTTATTTTTTATGAGTTTCTCCATGACTGTGGAAACCCTGCATCTTGGTGTAATCTGCATGTCAAAAGACACTACTGGATGAGCTGAGTGTAATGGCTTCAAGTACAAAATTACCACACAAAGGATGTTGGGTTTGTTACTTTTTTTTCAAATAGGCTTTTTATTCACACTTTACAACAGATGTACAAAGAACTACTTATTACATGGTGCTCATCTATGTATTTTCACAAAAAGAGCTATTTACATACATATACAGAACTTTATTAATTTACATAATGTTAAACACAGATATTCACAATGATTTCCAATATCCAATGTTTGATGGATAACAAAGTCTCCTACTACATTACCAGAATATACTTCGATCTATTTATCTATTGCTCTGTCAAGAATCCTGGTGCATGGAAATAATTATTATAAATTCATTACTTTTTTAGGAATCTATAGGCATCGTTTCACAAAACAATCTGAAATACAAGTTCGTCAGCATCTCATTTAAACGCTTGTTCAAGCATATTTGGATGGGATGTTGCTGAACTTGTAATTAAGATGGTTTTGAGAAATAAGGTCATGTTTTTATGAAAAATTTGATTTACCATCCATAAATTTAATCATCGCACCAAAGCAGATTGAATTAAGTGGAAATCTAAAAGTCGATGTACTCCATGTTTATTTGTGATTGGTCAGTTATAGTAGTTCGTACACCAACCATAGCAATTTAAAACTGACAATTGTTTCAATATAACACCGGATGCGGTTTGTAAATTTATATCAGTGATAGCAGATTGGGGTCCTGTTCCAGCACACTCATTCAGAGCATACTCATACAGTCTGAATTTGACTACATGGACACGGTGAGAGTCTTTGAGACCCCAGAGCTTCATTCTTGCTGCAAAGCAGCCTGTGTCTGATCATAGGCAGTTCAGCTGAACTCACTGCTCCCTGGGAAGGATACTGCCAGGAGGGTGAGAGGACCAAACTGTAAGGTATGGTTTGAGACTTACATCATGGCCTTTAACAATCTGTCACACAACTAATGATCATATTCACTAGCATGTGTGATTCATACCCAGATTTGAAACAAACATTCATATTTCAGGGATGCCAGTTAAAATTGATCAGAGGGCCTGAAAATCACCTAGAATGAGCTAGTTTGTACACAAAAAAAGCCTAAACTATGTTATGAAAATAACTCGCCAGGGCCTAAATTTAGGCTATTGCCTGAAAACTGGCGTCCCTGATATTTGAGGAGGCTCAGGGGTAGAGCAGTGGTCTCGTACCTTAAAGGTCCCGGGATCGAAAGCAAGTCGATGCGTGTGTGCCCTTTGATAAGGCACTAATTCTCAGTACCATAGCAAGCCCCTCGGATAGTCCTTAATCTGTCTGTCCCTGATTGTTTACATACAAGCATAAACGCTCCTTAGCTTTCTTAGCAGTCAGGTAAACAAACAAACCGACAAGGTTTTGCATTATACATCTTTGCGCTGCCTGTAGCCTGTACCAATCATATCCCATTTAGTTTTCTTTTTTTTACAATCATATTCATTAGCATTTAATACCAATATGTTTATTCACATCTCTTTGCATGACAATCTTATCTTTCAGCTTTCCCCGGAAGTTTTGCTCCACAACCCCTATTTTAAACTCCTATAGTAATCTGCATACTTCTCTTCCAACATTGCTTTAATGCTTAGCCTATAGTCTGTGTTATTCTTACCCCAAACTTTTATAATCTCGATCGCAACTACTTTGGAAAATCAACCTAAAGCAATTTCAATAGCTGTGGGTCTCCTATTGAAATGTGTGATCATTACAACGACGTACTACATACCGGTAATCAGAACATGATATCTATGGCCGGATGTACAATAGGGTATTGAAATTCCCCTTGTGTTGGCTTCTTGAAAATAGATGCGATCGTGTTTATCCCTTTAAATAATCATATTCATTTGCATTTCCAATTGGTTTATTCATATCCCTTTGCATGTTAGTCTTGAAGAAGGTTTTGCTCCACAACCCTTACCCTGACAACCATCTGGCTTCTTGAAAATAGATGCAGTCATGTTTATCCCTTTTAATAATCATAATCATTCCCATTTCCAATGGGTTTATTCATATCCCTTTGCATGTTAGTCTTGTCTTTGAGCTTTGCTTGAAGAAGGTTTTGCTCCACAACCCCTACCCTGACGTCCATCTGGATGACCTCGTTCTTCAGACGCTGGAGAGCTTGCTTGATCTTCACCAACGGAGCTGCAAGATAAATGAATAATAATAAAAAATAATAATAATCTGGATTTACATAACGCTTAAAGTGACTCAGAAACATTGTTGAAGGTTGATGACAAAAATACTTAGTTTTGGTATGAAATGTTACTTAGTATATTACTTCTACTGTACTGACCCTCTAACATGCAAAAAATCCTTAAAAAATTCTCAAACCACAAAGATATTTATGGTTTTCTTTGAAGGCGTCACTGTGCGACACCCTCTAACAGTAAATTCTCCCAACCATATAGAACCAATTCATTGCTTTGTGACAATTAACATTAACCTAAAATTTAATTAAATTGCAATAATATAGTTGGGAGAATTAAGGAATCGATCATATAAGTTTTTCCTGATTTCTATCATTAATAATGGTCTGTTTTCACTCAAACTTTCAGATTATCTTTAATTGTACATTAAAAGCATTGAAGTCACTACCTTAGCACCATTTTTCTCTCATCTGAACAATGTTACCAAGTCCCTTTTATACAAAATACCGTCTCTGTGCGGTTTACAGATATTATTACCCCGATCATCGGATTCCTCATCACACAAAATGTGCACCAACTCCACTCCCCGGGGAGTATTCCTACCATATGGTCACCGTGAATGCATATGGCAATTACTAACACAAAGGCTTTCATCATCCTATCAGGTCCCCATTTCTCTCCAGGGTATGGAGTAGCAAATGTAGATTAACACCTTGCCAAAGGACGTTAATGTTGAGTCAGGTATCATTTCAAGTTAAGTGCTTAAACCGCTCGACTAAGACACTTCCATATAAATAATGAAATTAACTAATTTTTTTTGTTGAACAAAAAACATAAACAAATCAACACATTGTTGTTTTAGAATGTGCAGGTGTACCTCTAAGCCAGTGTGTTCTTAAAGACACATAAAAGTCAGCTCTCATGGGGAATTCGACACCATTCGGGTGTTTACCCAATAACAGGTGTTGTCAATCACCAGAGTTAGCCTTCAGTTTTATGACCATTAGACCTTAGGTAATGCTTTACTTTTCCCTCACCCGAAGACTCTCGAGCTCTCCGAGAGATTAGGGGGTTATTCTTGACTGGCAAACGGGTTTGCTGTGTGCAGATTTGTAATCCCATTAATGGTATTTCCACCAAGTCTGGTGTCAGGGAATTATGGCCTTCTGCACATGGATACTGACGAGTGACTCGATCCCTTTAACATAGAAAGGTGGCAGCTCTCCTCCACATGGGCCTCCAATTAACATCCTATCTGAGGGACAGAGTTCTCGACTGTAACCTCACCTATGCCTATGGGCCAGAGGAGGGGCATGTTAACACATAATGCACGCTTCAATCCTCTGCCTGAGCTGGATTCATATTCAATCTATTGTTAACAGATAGACACTCTGCCAAATAAACTTTACTCGCTTCCTCAAACCTCTAACAAAAGTTTACAAAAAGAAAGTTCAACTTACATCCATCGGTCATGCTTGACCCCCTCTCTTCCATCTCTTGTTTTATCTGTTCCAATTCTTCTGTCACTTCAGCAAGTTGTCTCGTTCGTTCTGTCACTCCACCGCTAGCCTGCCTGTACTGTTCCTTCACCTGTACAACAGTAACAAATGTAAGATGGTAATATGAGGTAATGAGGTTGGTGTGAAGGTGATATATAACAGCAAATGAAGGTTACATTATAGTAAGATGAGTGGGTTATGAAGGTTATATAAATGCAATATAAAGATAATTATATTCCACATACTAAGAATCTTGTTCTACGATTGGTCAAAAGTAAATCACGTGATGAAAGATAGTTCGCCCATTATTGATGGGAGAAGCAAAAAGTTCGTTACACTGTGTAGATAGTACTACTATCTACACAGTGCAATGCACTTCCACTGAAGATAGAGGTACTATCTACAAAGGGCAATGCACTTTCACTGAAGATAGATGTACTATCTACAAAGGGCAAAGCACTTTCACTGAAGATTATCCAAAAGCGCACTAAAACAGGCGCAATTAAGCGCGCATTACCAATGAGCGCAATTAAAGCAAACACATGCGCGCACCGTACTCTCAAGGGGTTGGGTTAAACTTTTAACCTTTTTGGTGTGAATTTGGGCCTACTGTCTTTTATGTAGATGCATACGCGTCCTTTTCTTTTTGTAGATAAATTGTTTTAGATGTGGAATATAAAGCAAATAATCACCTTTTGGTTTCAAGCGATGGCAAACTATCACTTCCTCGTCAATCAGAATGTATTCGCTATCTTTCCTCAGCTTCGCTTCGGAAAGATAGCTACATCCAGATCGCCTCGGAAGTGATAGTTTGTCCCATCACCTTCACCAACGGTAGTTATTTGCTTACTAGCCTATTCTTTCTGTCACTCATCCACTAGCCTGTCTGTACCATTCCTTCATCTATACAATAGACAATAGTTACAAAATAAAGGTAATATGAATTGTAGGGGGTAGTTGTCTGGGGGGTAGTTTTCCTAGTAGTTAGTTGTCTGGGGGGGTAGTTGTCCAGGGGGTAGTCGTCCTAGAGGGTGGTTGCCCTAGGGGGTTGTTGTCTTAGGGGGTAGTAATTGTCTTAGGGGGTAGTTGACTGGGGTGGTTTTCCGGGGGTGGATGCCCAGGGGGTAGGTGTCCAGCTATAATCCACTAGACTACAACACCTCTAATACAGACTTACCTCGGCTAAACCATCTTGTGTTCCTCTGAAGTCCTGTAGTAGATGCTCAAGCTGGTTATTGATGTATTTCTCTCTGCTCCCTATCTTCTTCAACGTCCTTGTGATCTCCTTGTGTAGTTTGTCGAGGTAACCCTGGTAAATGATAAATATGGAGGTGATATGAAGGTATTCCTAAGCAATGAAATAAAATCTGTCCCTCACTTGCTGTGTTTAAAGCCCCACTGCACAACTTATAGCTACTTGCGCCCTCTATATAGCAAACAATGCCTAATTGGTGACCGCTGGTCCCCCATGATCCCCTTTTTCTTATGTTAATTGAGAGCTGATTTGATGAGATAACCACCTGTCAGTGACTACGCTGGGTGGCCCAATCCCTCCTGGCTAAAGTAGTGCAGACGGGCTTTAAAAGATTTTTTTTTTTTTTTTTTTTTTTTTAAGTTAATATTGCTTTTTTTTAATATTCTTTATAAATACTTAATTTTCAACTGATTTATATTGCCATTTACAGTATGAATCCTAGTTGATAAGTAATTCTTGTGCTTCTTAATAATATCTTAAATGCCTTTTTTTTTTAATATACCTGGTAGATATATATATATACATATACAAATATCATATTTTGTGTAATGGTGATAGCCATTGACAGGCCTGTGGCCTTTGCAAATGCAACCATATTTGTATTGGTTTGTGATTTATACTTGTTTATTTTCTCTTTTACATGTATATGTTGTTGGCATTGTGATTGTTCTTTTTATTCAACATTAAGGCTGACAAACTCCTACAATCTTGCTTTGAAGTACTCTTACCTTAGTCTCTGAGAGAGCCGTCTCAATCCCATCTTTGTGTAGATGCATCTGATCCACGTGTGTTCTCCAGTCCTTGTTATCTGTTCTAATGTGGACCTTTCAAGGAAATAATAACAATGATAATAATAATAATACATTTTTGATGATGATGATGATGATAATAATAATGTTGTTAAATCATGCCTTTATTTCATATACAAGGAATACATGTGTACATTCAAGACCTGGGGGGTGTTTCACAAAGATCCTAAGTAGAACTTAACACTAAGTTGGACTTAAAAATTATGGACAGCCATTGGAGCCTTAAAATGAAATATATTCAAAAGCAAAAATTAAATTATTTTAGACTTTTTTATAAAATCCACATCAAGAACATGAAATCTCCTTGATGATAGAAAATATGAATGATTTGAATCAACATTTTATGCCTTTCAAAATAACTTTTACAAAATATTTTCAAAGATGCTAATGGCTTTCCATAATTTTTAAGTCCAACTTAGAGATAAGCTCAACTTAGAATCTTTGTGAAACACCCCCCAGGTCCATGTTCCCTTTCCGAAACCATGGCAGGTCGCACTACATATAAAACATATACAAACAATAATGCATTACAGTTACAAATATATATCAATCATGCATAATAACAATTATATATTAATCATGTATAATTAATCATTGATCAATAAACATTCATTCATATATTAATCATGTATAGTAACAATTATTAATCATGCATAGGTTGGCAACAAAAATTAATTAAGGGGATTATGATTTTCTGAACATGTGGGTAAAGGCTCGGAGTAGGAAACGATGTAAGAAAATGTGAAAGAGAGGAGAAAGTAGAGGGTACATTATAGGTGGGAGATAAAGTGTAAACGAGTGTAAATAAGTCATTCCACTTGGAATAGACAGAGTGGAAGAAAAGGAGAAAGTAGGGGGGGGGGGTAAAGAGAGAAGAGGGGAGAAGAGGCAAGCAGATGGAGTAAAGGAGGAGGAGAGGTTGGAGAGGTAGGCAAGGAAAATAAGTTTAGGAAGAATGAGAGAGAGGGGGAGAAGATTTTCCCCAGCTTTATCTCAGCTGCCATAATAGGCCACTAAATCAATCAAGGAATTACTTCCTAACGGGAACCCATTTCCGTCACCTGGGGGAGAGTGGCAAAGTTCTGGAAAGTTCATGGAAGGAAACTCTCTGTTTTTTAAGTACTCTATGTTGTAATACGGTCAGTAATGGAGGCAATATGGGACAGCCCATTCATTTCAAAGACAATAGTACCTTTAGGGATGGGGTCACCCTCTTGACCTCTAACCTCCACTCGTTAGCATCAACTGATGACTCCATGATCTCCTCCGGTCTAGAGCTCTCTGCTATTTCCTGTCAACGGGTTAAAGGTCAAACAATGGTCAAACAAATGTCAAGGATCAATAATGTCTCATGCATTATATTCATGACACTTCAATATACCGATTTAGTAACATATTCAAATTTTATGCATACTTTTTATAAACAAAACTTGTTCCTGACAACCTGAAAATCTTGCCAGAGGCTTGCAAGATATAGCAACACGTAATGTGTGCAGACTGGATTCCAAGTATTGTATGTAGTTCATTCATTCATTAATAACAGGTTACTGGAATAACTCATCACTAGGTCCCCAGGAAAGAAATATCCATAAATTGAATATGTTAGTAAAGCGGTATGAAAACAAGTATGTGTATCTGTATGAATGCTACAGATTTCAAAATGCAAACTCCATGTATTTTGTAAGTGGACAGAATCTTTACTGCAAATTATAAGTTAAACATCACTTACAGAAATAAGTTAATGACCCAGAAAAGAGACAGTGTACTCATTTTGGCATTTTTCATCAGAAAATAATCCCACTTGTTTTTTAATTTTTGTTTTATCCATGTGACTATATTACCTGTGAAATATCAATCAATATGTATTGTATCATATCTATACACAGCATATACATATATTATTATATTGTAATGCAAAATTGATAACTCATTGTAACTGTATCTTCGCAACACCAAATCTTACGGGGGATTTTAAGTGGTCGTTATGGATAGGTGGTCGTTATAGACAGGTGGTCGTTAAGACAGGTTTGACTGTATTTCCACCAAATCTGGTGTCCGCAAATTATGACCTTCTGCACATTGAAACTGACGACCCACTGGCTTTAAAAGCACCATCAAGAATTCGCTTGAGCCTTAAAACCTTGAATAAAGCAGGTACAAACCTTGTTCGTTTGAAGATTCCTAAGCCCTTCCAGATCAAGAAAACTTTCTTCTTCTACTATATCTTCTTCCTCCTGATAGAGACAAGAAAAGAGAGACAAAGTTTATGATGATATTTAATAATAACCATGATAAGAATGATGGGTTTGACAAAGATGATTGTTCTTACTTTTGAAATTAAATTTCTTATAATAAATGTCAAGATTCAAGATTTTATTGTCCATAATATAATACAGAAATTTGTTTTCCATTGGTATAGCATGTAATACATAAAACATAAGACAAAAACATGGTGTCGTGTGCTGAAAGCCAGAAGGGCGTCAAGACTCTATAAGAAAAAGTCTATGAGCAGGTACGGTCCTCCGGCTTTCAGCACAAAACATGAAAAGACAGTTATATGACTTATACATAGCAAGAATTTAAAATACAATTCTGAATCACATCATGAATAAATTCAGGTATTAATATAGATGTGAATATGAAAGTAGAATAGGAGCAGCATCACAATCGAAATACGAGCAGAAAGAGAAAGGAGAAGAGAGCTCAAGCTCGAAGGACTGATAAAAGAGAGAAATATAGGGAGAGTTGGTAAGGGTCCAAAGGGAAAGGGGAGAGATAGAGAAGGAGAGATGGCATAATTTACAATCAGATTATAATGCATGACAGAAAAATACAACAAAATCAGCAGCAGAGCTAAACAACGGATGTTTTGACCCACAAAGGTGATAAGGTGGAAAACTTTCCAACCCAATCCCTACAAGTTTATTTACTGGGTGGGTAGAAAAAAAAGTTAACAAATAATCATAATCGCTATTATTTCGCTTAAAGCTGAGAATTTTGTGTTACTTGTGCATTATAGATGTGCATGGAATTTGGAATAAAAGAATTTCTGTATCTGGCTCTACGGGTAATTGGTACACGCAGGCGGATTCCTGAGCGGTTAAAAGTAAAACAAGAAAATAGTGGATGTGATGGGTCTTTCATAATAGAAGTTATTTTAGTCAATAAGCGATCTTCAAACAAAACTGATAGGGGTGGTAATTCAATGCCGATAATACGTTGAGCAATTTTCCTCGGATGTTCGAGTTTAGTTTTGTCTGCTTGTGTGAGATTTCCATAAAAACAAATGAGATTGAATAGAAGAACACTTTGAATGATAGACTGATAGAAAAGATGCAAGATCGTCCTGTCAACGTTAAATTTTTTGAGCTTCCTTAGAAAAAACATCAGTTGATTACATGTAGCTCTACTGTGTACAGCGTTGGTGTTCTTATTAAATCGTAGCTTATCATCAATCAAGGTACAAGATACTTACCAAGATACTTATATTCATGTACGTGTTCGATTGCCTGTTCATGAATATACAAAAGGATATAATTTAAGGTCACGTCAAAAGTCTATAATAATCTCTTTGATTTTTTTGAACATTCAAATATAGGTTGTGTCGATCGCACCCTTCAACAAACTGATTACCGGTAACTTGACAAAAATACTCATTCTCACTATTTCCTCCCTTAATGAAACCTGTGATGGCAGTGTCATCAGCATACTTTATAAATGAACAACATTGACTGGTACTAGCGCAATCACTGGTATACAGTGAAAATAACGGGAGAAAGGACACACCCTTGTGGAGCTCCTGTATTGGTTAACAAAGTGGGGGATTTAATATTTCCAAGTCTTACTGATTGTTGTCTATTTGTTAGAAAGTTATGAACCCAGAGCACTATTTTAACATCAACCTCCATTTCTATCAGTTTATTTATTAAAAGGTGAGGAGTTATGGTATTAAAAGCACTAGAGAGGTCAATGAAGGCACATCTTACATATGATTTGGGGATATCTAAATGACTATATATTCCATAAAGAAGGACAAGAACAGCGTCCTCAACTCCCCTATTCTGTCTATAAGCAAATTGAAAGGGGTCAATAAATGAGCCAGCTTGACTCAATAGATGTTTCAAAATCAACCTTTCCAAACATTTCATGACATTAGATGTGAGTGCTACAGGGCAAAAGGCATTCAGATCTGTGCTTCTGCCTTTCCTATTCCCTTTTGGAACTGGTATAATCGAAGATGTTTTCCATATTTGTGGTATTACACCTAGATCCAAAGTTAACTGATATAATCTCGTAAAAATAGGAGCTAATTGTTGATAACAAGTTTTAAGAACCCGATTTGAGATGTCATCAGGTCCAGTGGCCTTGTTTACTTTTACTCTTCTTAAGATGTTCCTCACATCTAGCTCTGATATTACAATGCCAACATTACTTGTGATTTTACTTAACAAGGATTTACTCAAGCATTCATTTTGATCATGAAAATCATTGCAATCAAATCGTGTATAAAATAAGTTTAAATCATCTGCAAAGTCCTGGTTACATTCAGTCAATTTATGTTTGCCCAGTCCTATAATATCACAGTACTATAATTTGATTTAAACAGTATTTTGATGAGAGAAGGAGCGAAGAAGGAAGGGAGAGAGAGAGAGGGGGAGGGGAGGGAGGGAGAGAGAGAGAGATAGGTGTGAGAGAGAGAGGGAGACAGGGAGCAAGAGAGATAGAGACAAATATAAAGAGTAAGATCTTCAGTTTATACTCACATCCTTTTTGTGTGAAACCAGGGATTTCAAAATCCAGTTCCGGTATACGCACAGATGCAGAGTTCGTCCTAATAACTTGCCTGTCCATATCCTGTTGATAGACAAAAGCAAAGAAAAAACAATTGCCTCGTCATATTACTGGAAATTTATACGATACAAATTCAAAGGAGTGTTATATAAAGAACCATCATATATCAAAAGTTGTACAACATATGCAGAGATGCCAACCTTCTTCAATAAAAAAAAAGTATTCTTAAGACACAAAGCCCATGATCAGAAATTAAGAAAAACATCACTAAAAAAAAAAAAAAAAAAAAAAAACGTAACAAAACATACAAAAAACGTACTGCCGTATTCATAGCGAAAAAACAGAACAAATACGGCAAAAACGGAACAGTTGGCATCTTTGCATATGCTCCTCCAACAATTTGTTCTGCTGTAATTTCATATACTAACCAAATTCTTAACTTTAACCCTGGCCCAAAAACTACACATAAGCCTAACCCTAACCCTAATCCTAACCATGACTCTAAGCCGAAACCCAACTGCAGCTTAACCTTAACCCTAAATACTATGACAAAATAAAACCCAGAGCAGTTGGTTGGCTGAGCAAATGTTAGATCACCAGAGCTGCCAACCTTGTGCGAACAAAAAAAGGAATCATGATGGCAAAAAAAAGGAATTTCAAGCAAAAAAAAGGAATTCATAAAAACGAAACTTACAACCACGCGCAAAACTTCCAATGCAGTTCATTCATCATGCTGTTTTTTCCATACGAGCAGGTAATTTTAGTATTATCGGCATTTAATTTTTTTTAGAATATTTTTCTCTTCAAGTAGGTTTTAAAATTAGTTTTCTATTGAATTTGTGATCAAATCACCATTTTAGGGAAGTTGTTTGACGTGCGGTATGTAAAAAAAAAATTAAAAAAAATAAAAAAAATAAAAACATTTATTAAAAAACGTATTTTATGAAGAAAAAACGTAGTACAGTAATTTGGAGGAAAAAACAGAGTAATTCCGGCAAAAACGGAATAGTTGGCAGCTCTGGATCACCATAGAGTTAGGGGCATGGATACATGCTTGAGTATTGGATAAATGATCATTGTATAAAGAAGCAGTACATACATTAGAAGAAACTAGATTTGAAGAGGTCAGCTAACATGACAGCTGGCAAATCATCAGTGCTTGGTCATGCAAAGTCCTACCCCATCCTGAACTGAAACATTGTTTAGTGTAACACATGTTTGTGCATCAATTCAAAAGGAAAAGTGATAAAGAATCAGGGTCCCATTCTATTCTGAACGTCGCATCATACGGGGATCATATGACTGAACGGGGCTATCTTGAGCGTCCACTGATCACTTTCATTTACTTCTTCAAAACTAGTTTTGTCAAAATACAATGCAGTTTTCAAGTCTGTACCCCCCCCCCCTTTCACACTACAAATATTCTTATTGTTTTTCTTTATACGAATTTCATATAAATTCTTATAGTCTGAACAGGGCCACTCTTCTGTCTTGATCTCGACCTAATAGATACATGTAACAGTCAGCTGGCTATGCATCAGTGCCCACTCACAGTAAGGCCAGGGCCCGTTGCATGAAACTTACCATTGATGGTAACTTTGCCATCAATGGCAACTACCATGGTAACAGGGCTCAACAGCCAATCAAAATCAAGGCTTCCATGGTACAGGGATGCTAGTTATAATTGATCAGAGGGCCTGAAAATCACCTAGAATGAGCTATTTTGTACACAAAAAAGCCTAAACTATGGTCTGAAAATAACTTGCCAGGGCCTGAATTCAGGCTATTGCCTAACACTGGCATCCCTTCATGGTAGTGATTGAAATTTTAAAGTTTGTTACCTTTTCCGTCCTGATCTCGACCTCGTGGATACATCCTTGTGGTTGCAAGGCACTGGCCGGCTGGATCTCGTTGTTGGTATAGTGACAGTGGGGGCAGTCAAAGGAACTGATGACGACAGACTTGAAGAACGGAATCCTGGTCAGGAGAAGCTTTGTTGTCCCCTGTGAGAGTGGGAGAGAAAGAGATAAGATGAAAGAAGGGAGAGAGAAAGAAAGGAGAGAGAAAGAGGGGAGGGAGAAGCTTTCTCAAGGATCACTACCTAAATGCAATATTACTTTATCTATAAAAGATTGATTATATAGCAACCCAAGACTCAGTGTAAGCTGTGAGATTTCTAAATCATCAAGATGATAAAAAAAGTGATTTGGTCTTACCTAAAGTCACATGTACTTCACACAGAAATGTACACACGGGACAACACACACGTGGCGTGATCTTATGATCCAAATTCTTCAGCGATTTCTAATCACAATTCAAGTATGAAGAGGTCAGAAGAGCCATTTTTTTCAGGAGAAATTGCTTCCATGATATCCTCTCACATTAATAAAAGGAATGAAAAAGCTCACAATTTATTGTTGTCTTTACCAGGAATCCAGGGCCCCATTTCATAAAATGTGTTATCAATAACAAATACTGAATTTCTATGACAAATCTGCTTTCAGCCAATGAAATGCGTGCGCGCGTGTGTGTTTGAGTATTTGTGTGTTCAATATCATGTAGCTTAGTATTTCCATCCCTTGCTTGTATATACGTTCCATTCTTTTTATTCACCTTGCCATAGTGTTAATGTATGTATTTTGTCGACTATAGGGCCCCACTCACAAGCTTTAATCCTAAACCATTCATTTTATGATGTAATCAAGTTAATATATGTTAATTAATGTACTATTACCAGTCTCTTTTTTATGTAAAAGATTATATCATGTTTTGTGTGGTTTTTAATAAAATGAACTTGAATGCTACTGTTTCAGTAGCTTATGACAGTTATTGTAACTTGTTATTGACAACAAGCTTTATGAAATAGGGCCCAGAACTCAATCTTCTCCTTGATCTGTACAGGTAAATGCGTTCACATCAACTTACATTTTCCTCGCAGTTCACACACAAGCTCTCGATCTCCGTGGCCTCGAGGTCATCCAGGTCACCAGAAATGTTCTTGAAGAGGGGCTGAGAAGTGGCCTGTTCTTCAGTTGCCATGGTAACTCAAGTATTCCTACTGGAAGAAAATTGATGCAGAAAGGGTAGTGTACATGACGTGTGGTTCATATATGTCACAGTATAATGCAGCAGCTTAAAGTTAAACCGCAAATTGTTTTTAGCGTACTACTGGCATTAATGCACTTCATATCTTATCACACAGACAAGAGAATACACGAGGTGACCAAGAACTGATATCGAAAATAATATCGCTAGTGATATTCGTTTGTCTCACAATGTATGGTCAACAAGGGATCTTACAATTATAATTTATCACGTCGATTTAACCTGCATATGTTATTACGAGCAATAAAATCAGAAATTAAAGTAATACTTTGCAAGATTTTTAAGGCATTTATCGAGCTCAAAATGTATACATCAGCTGTCGCTAGCTAAACATGCAGCGTGCGTTAGATCTGATAGTGACATACGTTGTACATAATTATACTGTACATGTATAGCCTTAAGGGCTCTCTCGAAATGTTTTTTTAATGATATTATTCGAGAGAGCCTTAAACGGCTCCCATACCCCTGCACGGAGAGGCATGTAAACAAAACTCAAAAGTGGTCCAAAATCACACTTTCGCGCACCCGACCAATATTGGACAGTGGCTTTGATAAATTTTGTCGTGGTTTTGGTCTTAATTAGCGTTTAATTTCAAAATCGGATCTAAAAATAACAAAATAAGAGCAATTTTCTTACCAGACCGATACAGCTCAGCTCCCTTTTCACGTGTACCGTGTGAATTCACGATGTCTACACAATGGTGATGACCTCTGACTAGCACTTCGTAAATGTGCTGTTTCCGTATAATGCGCTGAATAACACTCATACAGCGCATTATACGGAAGCAGCACAATTTACCCACAATTACGGAAGTGCCAGTCAGAGGTCATCACCATTGTGTAGACATCGTGAATTCACACGGTACACGTGAAAAGGGAGCTGAGCTGTATCGGTCTGGTAAGAAAATTGCTCTTATTTTGTTATTTTTAGATCCGATTTTGAAATTAAAGCGCTAATTAAGACCAAAACCACGACAAAATTTATCAAAGCCACTGTCCAATATTGGTCGGGTGCGCGAAAGTGTGATTTTGGACCACTTTTGAGTTTTGTTTACATGCCTCTCCGTGCAGGGGTATGGGAGCCGTTTAAGGCTCTCTCGAATAATATCATTAAAAAAACATTTCGAGAGAGCCCTTAAGGCTATACATGTACATCATGTACTAGCTATGACGCTAGCTGCCCGCGCAACACACGTCGCTAGACTAGCTAGCTTGAAATGTTTTCAACATCAACCATACTTGGGAGTAAAACATGACAAAACAAATGAATAAAGTAAATTTTGCATAGTATCAGTAAGACTTTAATTTCTGATTTTATTGCTCTTAAGTCTTAAGAGATTTAGACTTAACTAAAAATTAGGTATGATGCACATGAATTTCAATTGTTTCAGGCTCTCGGCGTGGTAGCTGTGCCAGACTCGACGGCTTTAGCAAGCAAGCACGAGCTATGTGTATATTAATTATTAGACTTGGGGTGGATGCAACGATAAGGACTAGGCATACGTCAGAAAATAAAGGATGACCAACATGATTTATTGATTAATTTACTGAGGTCAGGGTACCATACAGTTGTCAAGAGTGACAATCATAACCATACGTTCAAACAGAACAGATGCTAGATGACAGCTAGGCATGCATGCATATTAAATACCGTTAACAAGATCCCAACGAGGCGTTGTGGCGCGATAACGTGCATCTGTGCAGTGTAATCAAGCTATTAAACAATGGACCCCAAAAACTGATTCAGCCGAGAATGCAGGTTCAAAACCCACGTCTTTTGGATGGTGACATTAAAGGTCGGTCCCCAGACGTAAATAATAATATCTGATTGATACATGTCTGTAATATCCGAATTACACATAGGCCTACACACACCGGCGCCAGCCAGACTGCTGCGCAATCGTGTCGCTCGCACGGCCCGGTACCGACTGCATTGCCACCCACCCAAACCTCAGTTGTGTAGATTGTCGATATGAGACACGTTACATAGACTTACGTGGCGTGGCAAAGTCAATCATCTTTTCACAATTTTACTCATTCAAAGTCACATAATTAATGCTGTCAATTTATTTCACTACATGTATCAACATATTACATAAATACTAGTTCTACGTTACGGTTATCGAATACATACCTAGTTACAAAATCAGGTTTGAACTTGAATTGTTGAAGTTGAATTATCCTCTCAGTTTCGCACTGCATGCATTCAGCGTTGGGTTCGCCTTGAAGAAACATGTACACATGTATGGCGCAATAACATGTTAAGTGCAGTACATATACAGTACATGCAAGTCACATGGAGACTGGACTAAAAGTTGGGGACATTATTATGTGTACGTCCAAATTGCTCTGCGCTGGAGAACGGAGTACAGTCTTACTGTGACATCACGTTAGCCTAGAAGATTCGGGGACTTTCCCCGATCGGCTGGTCATTGACGGGTGGGGTAAAAAAATTATGAAAATGCTGTAAACTCAGCAAGCAAACAGTTTGGCTGTAAGAAGTCATCTAATCGTTTATGGGGGGGGGGGGGTGTTGTGTTGATGCGCATGCATTAATACAATTCAGTATAAACACATTTTTGTAAGGGCATAATATTTATAAGGGCACTAGCGCATCGCCATGGTTTCGAACCCGGGTCGCCGGATTACGAGACCACTGCTTTACCAAGGCTGAGCTTTCCCTCTAAACTTATCCATACTGCAAATTATTTAGGCATGCTGTCTTACAATACGAGCCGGGCGGTGGCAAAACCTTTTTTCGGGGCTATATTTTTATATTTGTTGTTGAAATAAATCTTTATTCAGATAAAATCACGGATAACATCGTAGTACATAAATATTCATAACAAAGCACTTATTTAATCACATGTTTAAATGAGGTCAAATCAAATTATATATCTCTATTTATTTGATAGCAGATTGTAAATCAGTAATTGTCTTCTCAGTAATATTCAAATCAGTTGTCTTAGTTTTATTTTCCTCTACTTCTATTTTGTATTTCAACATAAACAAAAAATATTTGCTTATTATTCTCGTCACTACATTTGTATTAAATTGATTTCCAACACTCGTTTTATAGATTGTAATAAAGCATAATGAAGTATTAAATCAATCAACATTTTCTTTTGCGTCATGAAAACCATATACAACACAAATGGGTGAGAATTAAAAAAATTAACAGAAGGAGTTACATAATAATATTTCAATAACGTTCCAAATTCGGTAAATATCTTGATGTTCGCATTAAAAAAATACATGTATTATAGTACCAGGTTTTCTACAGTAATAACACAAATCGTTTTCTTTGATTTTCCATTTGAATAAATTAACAGGTGTTGGTAAAATATTATACATAAATTTAAAGTTGAATTGTATCAAATAATTATCACGAGCATATTTCAATTTAAATAACCATAAAGAATCCCACTTAATAGAAAAATTTGTCTGTAAGATTTTGTTCCAGAAGTCTACCGCCCTAGATGGTTTTTGGATTAATTTTATGAGTTCCGTTTATATTATTTTCACAGTAATAGAGTGTATTGATAATTCAAAACTATTCAAATTCAAATTAGAGTATATCACTGATTTACGTTTGTAATCGTTAAAATCATAATACTTGTTCTCCATATTTTATGATTCGCCTCCATCTTTGTTGTATTGCGGTTCTTATTTTGGCATATTCACTCAACCATCTACCATCATAATAGATAAGTTTATCTTTCAATTCTTTGACTGTCAAAAATCTATTTCCTATCACTATATCCCCTAAAAATAAGTTACCCGATTTTATCCAATTTGTATACAACAATGCTTTTCCTTTAAATTTGATATCACAATTTAACCAAATCATTTATTTTGTAACACTTCCATGGGTGTGGTGTATATCTTTTACATAATTAACTCGCTTTACAGTAAACCATGTACAAAGTAAGGTATTTTCCCTCTATAAGAAGTCACATATTTTGGTAAACATTTACAATTCATAATGATATCAATCCCTCCCAATTTTTCAATCCAATACTCAAAAAAATTATCCATCCCCTTTCTTTTCTTGGCGTTCTTTAAAACTTAGGAAGCTAAACAACCATTTTATTCGTAACGACATAAATTGTGTACACATGTCAACCATATTCATGCCTCCATTTTGAAGAGTATTTATCATGTTTTCCTTTTTCACTTTTGCTCTATTACCCCATACAAAATTATAAAACAACTTTGCATACGCTTTTATCCATTCCATATGGCACGATAAAACTTGAGCTGTATAAATCAATTTTGAAATAACAAGGCTTTTTAAGATAATTACTTTCCCTTAAAATGTCAAGTTCCTCCGTTTCCAAAAATGTAAAAGTTGTTGTATTTTAATGAATCTTTCTTGAGACCAATTCATATTCATACTCAAAGATTTATTCTTACTGAAGTATATACCCAGAGATTTAACAAAAGTATCACACCAACTTATATTCTTTATTGTCTCTGAAGGAGAAGTTTTGCCCAACCATATAGCTCTAGTTTTATTCGTATTTAAATGTATTCCCGATACCCTTTCAAAATTTTCATTCACTTTTATTACCTTCCTTCCAGATTTAACGTCTTGTACAAAAATTGTCATATCATCAGCCAGTTGAGCTACCTTAATTTCTGTTTTGTGTCTTCCGATAGTAATACCTTTAATATTTACATTCTGTCTTATTCTGTTGCTTAAAACTTCGATACTCAGGATAAAAAGTAGGGCAGACAGGGGACAACCTTGCCTTATGCCTCTAGATGGTTTAATATTGCCAGTAAACCATCCATTTACTGTAACTGATACGCTTGGATTTGAATATAACAATTCAATCCATTGCCGAAAGGATTGCCTGAAACCATATAACTGCAAACACTTGTATATCCATTCCAACGAGTCGAAAGCTTTTCTAAAATCTGTAAAAATAATTGCCCCATCTTTAGCCGTTAAATGATGGTAGTCAACCACGTCTTGAACTAGTCTAGCATTATAAATACCGCTTTTACCCTTTAAATAGCCTACTTGATCTTCATTAATAATATCTGCTAACACATTTCGTAATCTTTTGGTCAAAACCATCGCTAATATCTTGTAGTCTATATTTAAAAGAGTTATTGGTCTCCAATTTTCAAGTTCCTGTTTATCTCCATCACCTTTAAATAATAAAGTAATAACGCCTTTCCTTTTGAATAACTTAAATTTCCTTTCTGAAAAGCCTCGTTCAAACTATGAAGAACCATATCATTTACTTGTGACCAAAATTCTTTATAAAATTCTGTTATCGCTTCAGTAATCTCTTTCATTGTAACGAGCCCTTCGCATGCATCTGCTTCGTGTCTATTTAGACGTGGTATTTCTACTTCTGTCATGTATGAATCTATTAATTCGTCATTACACTCATTTGGCCTATAGAGTCTTGAGTAAAACTTCTCAATAAATTTTAAGATTTTGTCCTTGTCGTACTCCAACTTTCCCCCAATCCTTAAACAAGAGTTGGATCGTTTTGCACCGTTTCTTGTTTCTAAACCTAAAAAATATTTGGAATTACTTTCCCCTTCTTCAAACAGAGTTACCCTTGTTCTAACTCTAGCACCATCACATAAATATTTGTAATATGCATTTAACTCCATTTTTACACTAGTCAACTCTTCTTCTTGTTCTTTTCTTCCGTTGCATACTTGATCGTGCAATCATTCAACTAACTCAAATAAAACTTTCCTTTCATTTAATTTTTTTTTTTTTGCAAACATAATAGTATAATCACGAATCTTTGATTTACACATGTCCCACACAAACTGCGAACTAGTGTCAGACTCTGTCCCATGTTCAAAAGTCACATTCCGGATAACATTTCTAACACCCATTTTATATTCCTCATTCTTTAACAAGGAGTTGTTTTCGAGGGGGGGGGGGGGGGGGGTGGGGGGGGTTAAATTTGAAGATCACGCCGAAAATTTCGCAACCACTCAGCCAGCCGCTGAATAAGCGGCGGGGGGGGGGGGGGGGGGGGGTTAAGAGGACATTTTGTTTGTGTGTGTCTCAAAAATTAAAAATTTGGCCGATCGATATTTCGTTTCGTTGGGGGGGGGGGGGGGTAATGTCAATTTTTGGGGTCACTCATTACCACAATTTTTGTTATTTTTTGTTATTTGTTATTTTTAAAAATTCCAAAGGGGGGGGGAATAAGTCCAAAATACACACATTAAAAAAGTTAAAGGGGGGGGGGGTCACCCCCCCCCCGGTCGTACGCGCCTGTATCAAACAACGCATCGTTAACACAATTAAAGTCACCACCAATAATCAATGCATAGGAATCTAATTTGTCAACATTTCTTATACATCTAGATAGACGTTCATAGAACGCATCTTTGTTCTTTTTTTCAGTTGGTGCATAGACATTAATCAACAAAAAAATTCTCTCTCCTGCTTCTATTTCAACCACTATAACTCTACCGTCACTTGATAGGTGAATTAATCTGGTATGAAATGACACGTTCTTCTTTATGAGGATTACAGCACCCCTGCTATGCTTCGTCCCAAACGAGTGAAAAGTTTTGCCTCCCCATTCTTTATCAATTTTTTTTTGTATTTCTTTTGTCAAAAATGTTTCCTGTAATAAAATTACATTTGACTTTTGTCTAACAAGAAATTGAAACAACATATTTCTTTTTTTGCTTATTTCTTAGCCCTCTCACATTCAGAGAAAAGAGATTTAAACAATTGACACCTTGAGTTTGATCATTGATATAATATCCCAAAGTTGTTATAATTGATTGTAACCTTCGTTTCTTCGATTTTCTATCGTGTCTTTCTTTGTCTTTTCTTGTTGTAACTCTTGACTTTCGCTTTTCTTCTCATGAGTATTATAGTTACCTGAACTATTTTTTGTTTGAACCCTTTCTTCTCCTTTTTCTTTCTTGTCGATATTTTTGTTTCTTATCTTTGTCGCTCTCGGCATTTTCTGATCGGTGGTCCCCCTGGAAAAAAAAACGTGTAAAAACACATTAATTTTACCTATTTTCGGAGATGCCCCCCCCCCCCCTGGCGCTCAAGGGGGGGGGGGGGGGTGCGATTTTTCAAATTTCGAGGACCAAAAAAATAGTGCTTACTATGTGCTCACGAGTTTACAATTCGATTAGACTACTTTCTTGAGAAAGTACTTTTTGTGTAATGCGCATGATGTTCAACACCTTTTGGGTTAATAAAATAGTACTCCTTATGTTACTGTTGTTGATGTCGAGGGTTGTTTGATATACTATGTTTTTTTCTTCCTTTACTCCTTCTACTACAAGGACCCCAACGCGGACGATTTGGGCATGCGCTAGCTATACTCTCTATATATTATATACCTTACGCTCTACTGTATATCACAGAAATGGGAACATCCTAATTGTTTCCTGTCTCAATCGAGAATATTCTAGTATATCGGAAGTGACGTGTTTACAATGAAAACAGCACACGGTTGGAAATCCGCTCAAACGAACAATGATATATCGGGATGAATTCAATCATAGACCAATATACAGTCAGTCTACTTTACACAACAATATTACTACATGTAGTTTAGCCAAAAGGGGAAGTGATGATATAGGCATATTCAGCTCGTTATATCAATGCAATTGTACATGCTGTTAATTTTGTGAGTAATTTTCAGACGCAGAACACATTGGTTACACATGAGGACTATACTTTTCTACGATTGACAGTACGTCGATGTGTTAGTTCATAACGTCATACACAAGAAGGGCTACAGCCAAATAGATGACGCACGTTTTGCAAATTAGACAAATCGTCGCTTCCGACGCTTCGTCAAAGTTTACTTCAAGCTTCGACTATCAAACTGTTCAGAACAAACGATTCTGCAAATTATCACGAAGTAGAAATATATCGGGGTATTTAGCCCATACATCACTTCCAAATTGATTGCGGTAGGTAGCGCTTATTTTGGACATCCTCAAAGTTGATATTTTAGGAACCAGATAGCTCGAGATAAAATAAAATACAATGGCTTCAGGAAAATCACCAGTGATCGGGATTGATTTGGGGACAACATGTTCCTGTGTAGGAGTCTTCCAGAATGGGACGGTGGAGATCATTCCCAATGACTATGGAAACCGGACCACACCCAGTTGCGTTGCTTTCACAGACAGGGAGATACTGATTGGAGAGGAGGCCAAGAATCAGATGTCAAAGTAAGTGGTTTGAGATTTAGTGCACGTTTGATCCTTGATCCACCCATGAGGAGGGGGAGGGGGTAATATCCTCACTAACGAACTTACAGAAAATTCCATGAACATTTCGCTCATGCTTTGAAGTTAGGAATTCAGTTGATATAGGAAAAGGACCGAAGAGCAATTGTGACAGGAGCACGAGTCGTAAATCCGTCAGTCACTATCTATTTTGAGCACTTTCCATATTGATATTTCGCCCCTTCCCCTCAATCATCCTGGATCTGCCCCTGTAATACAGTAGTAAACCTAACCTCAAACAAACTGCTATCCAAGCCCTGCCTATAAATCTTGGGCAAAGCAGAGCCCAGATAATTGTTGCCAGAGCAAATGCCGTAGCACCCCTAAATTGCAAAAGAAGCACATTGTTTTCCAAACTACAAAAATTGTGATATGCCCAAAGTAATACCAGAACATGGTATGGTGGCCTAGCTGCCTATGTGATAGGTAATTCTATTTTCCTGTTTCTGTATCTGTTCAGGAATCCCAAGAATACAATCTTCGATGCCAAGCGTCTGATTGGGCGACAATTCAATGACGAGGTTGTACAGTCAGGCATGAAACACTGGCCCTTCACCGTCATCAACACTGACGGCAAGCCGATGCTGCAGGTAGAGCACATTGGTGTAACCAAGACACTGTCTCCAGAAGAGGTCAGCTCCATGGTTCTGACGAAGCTGAAGGAGACAGCAGAAGCCTACATTGGCGAGAAGGTCACCGATACCGTCATCACTGTTCCTACTTACTTCAACGATGCCCAGCGACAGGCGACCAAGGAGGCAGGGGTGATCGCTGGCCTTAACGTCCTCAGGATCATCAACGAGCCCACCGCTGCCGCCCTCGCCTACGGTCTCGATGAGAAGTCTGACGGCCGTGAACTGCATGTTCTTGTTTTCGATCTCGATAGAAGTGAATTCGACGTCTCACTCCTTGTCATTGAAGATGGGATATTCGAGGTACTGACGACGGCTGGAGACGCACATTTCGGCGGAGAGGACTTCGATAGCAGACTCGTCAACCATCTCGTTGAGGAATTCAAGAGCAGGAACAAGATAGACTTGATGACTAACTGCAAAGCACTACACCACCTTCGTAAAGCAGTGGAACGTGCATCAAGCAGCACTCATTGCTGTATCGAAGTTGACTCTCTTTTCGAAGGCCTTGACTTCTACACTAGCATTAGCAGAACAAAATTCGATGAGCTGTGTTCAGATCTCTTTGAAAAGTGTTTGCAGCCGGTCCAAAGAGTAATGCTGAATGCCAAGATCGATAAGAAGAGGATAGATACAGTAATCCTTGTTGGCGGATCGACACGGATCCCGAAGATCCAGAAGCTTCTTCAAGAATTCCTGGACGGAAAGGAATTCAACATGTCCATAAACCCTGAAGAAGTTGTAGCCCACGGAGCCGCATTGCACGCAGTTACTGTGTCCGAGATACAAGTTTTTGCCTGTTTCCATGTTGCTCCTCTGTCTCTTGGTATCGAGACAGCGGCTGGTTCGATGACAAGTATCATTGATAGGAACACCATGGTGCCAACCAGAGTATCCCAGAGATTCACTACCTACTCGGACAACCAACTAGGCGTCTCTATACAGGTGTTTGAAGGAGAGCGGGCTATGGTCAAGGACAACAATCGCCTCGGCCAGTTTGAGTTGTCCGGGATACCACCTGCTCCTCATGGCGTCCCCAAGATCGAAGTCACTTTCGACATTAACGCCAATGACATATTGACCGTCACTGCTAAGGATTTGATCACGGGCTGCAGCAATGGAATCACCATCTCCAATGATAAGAGACTGTCCAAAGACGACATCGAACGCATGATGAAGGATGCTGAACGATTCCAAGCCGAGGATGATGCCCAGCGCGAAGGCATCGCCGCCAAGAATTTTCTAGAGGTTGACACCCTCAACCTCAATACCGCCGTCAGTGACTCCTCTACAGAGAAATGGCTGGGCTCTGATACATTGTGTGAAAGCCCCTCTTAATACAGATTAGGATAAAGGAAAATCACGATTTATACTAAGTATTTAACTTGTAAATAGAAACTGACTCTTATCGTTTATTGTTCGTAAATATCCCTGTTACAGTGACTATAATTATCTTTGCTATAATTATTCATATTTAGTAACAAGGTAAAAAGAAATCAGTATCAATAATTGGTATAATAGGCATAAAGATGACAAGAACATCTTCATCGTGTATGTTACACTGATATTTAACAAAAACGACAAGAAACAAAGCAATTTACCTCCCAAAACTGTCTACTAGCGTGTATGTTTCCTTGATCCTCTATTTATAATCTTTTTGACTATTGTATAATGGAAATGAATATTCTCACTTAAGTCGTAAAAGACCACTCCAGTGGCGCCCCCCCCCCCCCTATTGGCGGCGCAAAAAAAGGGAGGAAAAGAGGAAGAAAAGAAGAGAAAAAAGGAAAGGAGAAGAGAAGAAAAAAAGGAGAAGAGAAAAGAAAGGAGAAGAGAAGAGAAAGGAGAAGAGAAAAGAAAAGAGAAGAGAAAAGAAAGAAGAGAAAAGAAACAGAAGAGAAAGAGAAAAAGGAGAAAAGAAAATGAAGAAAGCCTTTTTTTAAACGTTAAAAACAGCCCCTGTGTTACAAAGGTCATTACTCTAGTCTTTAGTGAGAAATTTGAAAAGGGCACAATATTTTGGATAATACTCAACAGTCAAATTTTAAATTAACGATAGGGCCGCTTCACAACTCTTATTTTGCCCTTCATTTGGATTCAGCTCATACCAACTCGCTTGGGCTTGTATTTGAACTCATGTTGGTAGTAATCATGGACTGGGGCAGCAATCCTTGGCCCGATAGGGAGACATGTCCCCATGGGTGTCGATCCTTACGTAATACCTATTGTTCAGGGGGGATGAATGAATAGATCACCCCCCCCCCTGAACAATAGGTATCAATGACAGATCGACACCCATGCATGTCCCCCAGGAAATTTAGAAATATAAATAAAGCGGAAAGAACGTACATATTGTCCTTATAGGGATTTTCTAGAATGCATAATTTCAACATTGCAAAATCTCGCTTGGTCGCTACGCCCCGGCCCTCGCCCGATAACACAAAACTATGATATGACGCTATCACAATGATTGTTTAATTTCCCCTTAAAGCAGGCGCGTAGACAGGGGCGGTAGGGGCAGTAAGAGGACAGGACGAAAAAGGAGCAGACAAAGAAACATTTTTTAAAATTCTGACAAGTCGAGAACGGTACAACGAATCGTCTTCTTTCTCTAATAATTTAATGAAATGTCAAGCGCGGGAGGTGGAGGATTGAATTCACACAAGGATTAAGAGTCGTGAATGGTACCGTACAACGAATCGTCTTCTTTCTCTAATAATTTAAGTAAACGTCAAAGCTTCCGCGCTTCGCGCGGGAGGGGGAGGGGGACTCAATTCAGACAAGGATAAAGATTCGAGAACGGTACAACGAATCGTCTTCTCTCTCGAATAATTTAATGAAACGTTAAGCTTTCACGCAAAGCGCTGGAGGGGGCAACTGAATTCAGACAAGGATTTAGAGTCGAGAATGGAACAACGAATCATCTTCTTTCTATAATAATTTGTATTAAACTATGAACTATTAAGAGTCGAGAATGAAACAACGAATCATCTTCTTTCTCTAGGAATTTCATTAAACTATGAATGGGTCAAAGCTTCCGCGCTTCGCGCGGGAGGGGGAAACTGAATTCAGACAAGAAATAAGAGTCGAGAATGGTACAACAAATCGTCTTCTTTCTCGAATAATTAATGAAAGATCAAAGGGAGGACGAACTGAATTCAGACAAGGATTAAGAGTCGAAAATGGTACAACGAATCGTCTTCTCTCTCGAATAATTTAATGAAACGTTAAGCTTCCACGCAAAGCGCGGGAGGGGGGCAACTGAATTCAGACAAGGATTTAGAGTCGAGAATGGAACAACGAATCATCTTCTTTCTATAATAATTGTATTAAACTATGAACGGTCAAAGCTTCCGTGCTTCGCGAATTCAGACAAGGATTAAGAGTCGAAAATGGTACATCGAATCCTCTTCTTTCTCTTATAATTTCATGAAACATCAAGGCTTCTGCGCTTCGCGCGTAATGGGGGGGGGGGCAGCAAGCTGTCCGAATATGAATTTTTGATATCTTTTCTCGTTTATTTTGGTGATAAATAACACTTTCACAAAATACATATTATGCTCAAATTTTTGCTCGCTCGCTTCGCTCACTAGCCGAATTGTGAAACCAGAAAATTACTTTTTTCGGGCAAGAGGCTATAGCCCCCCCCCCCCCCCCGACGAAAATGTCAAAAATTGTACCGGTATAATAATAATAATAATGGCTACTTGTATAGCGCTTCTAATATGTCCTTGTCAGTATTGGTATGTTGAGTTGAAAAAAATTGTCTGCGCAGTTTTCAAATTTCCGCCACCCCCCCCCCCCCCCCCCCCCCTATTGGAAAATCCTGGATCCGCGCCTGCCACTTTCGGTTCTTTAGTTGAGGGAATTCTACTTTTTCCCCAATTAAGTTTCAAGCTCTTTACTTATAGGCTCTGAAAATTGATGGTTAGAGCAATAATTATAGTGATGATAATGATAAAAATAGTACTAGTAATATTAACTTTCTGGATTGATGAAGTAACAGCCATAAGTCAAGTCAAGTTTGGATCTTGCAAATACAAGAGGCCTATAATTATGTGGGTATTAAGCAAACAGTTCTGCCGATATGGCTTTTTTTTTTTGGACTGTAAATATAATATAGTTGGGAAAGTAGGGTTGCGCTGCCTACCAGTGTATTCTTTTTTCATCCTCACTATTTATGAAAGGCATAAAAGATACTACAAGTAAGTATCACCAGAATGCATGTTAAAACATTCTTAAACATGCCTTTAAGGAAATATTTTGCTCGTCACATCAACCAGCAGAAAAAAGACGTACTGAATTGTATTCCTGCTAAAAGTATAGACTTAGGAACAATTTTATTAACCATTTTAAGATTCATTTTCATCTCTTCCATTTTCAAGATAACATAACAAGATATAATAACATGACAAAGTAGCACAACATTACATAACAATCACAATCATAAATAGGAGTTGATAGATTTTTAAGAAATAAAAAGAAAGGGGAAAACATCTTCTCTGCTACCCACGTCCCCCCCCCCCCTGCCATCTTCCCGCTATAAATGAACATGTACTGTGAGAACCAGTGACGTAGCGCGGGCTCAGTCTTGGGGGGGGGGGGGTAACAGTCTTTAGTCTACTAGATCAGTGTTTTTTAAACAATTTGTTTGTCACGGCACCCTTTTAAAAATTAAAAATAGCCATTCGCCACCCCAATCCCAATCCATCACAAAACGCTCCTTTTACATTTCTCTGGCACTCGTCATTTGCCATATGCACACAAACGGGCATATATGATTCTAAATTTTGGGTGCGAGCGAGCAGAAAGAAAAGATAATTTTAAAAATGGCAAATAATTAATTTGTAATCAACAAACTAGATAATAGACATATGATAATGTATGCGTGCACCTCGCCGAGGAATGTACACAAACTCATATATTCGGTCCCCTCGATACATGAATATTAGGATATTCGGCCATCTCATTGCCCATAATAATGCTGGTGCTAATGTCGGCAAGCGAGTAAAGCGAATGAGCGTGGGAAACATATTAAAAATATAAGATATATTTGGGTACCTTGCTGTCAAATAGAAGGACGTTCGAGCCCCTCGGTGCCCACATGTCGAGATGTTTAGGCACGTGGCTGCCTTAAATCATCCTGTTTCTAAACTTTGCGAGCGAGCGAAGGGAGTCAGGAAGAAAGACGCTTTACAATCTTCAAAATGCTACTTCCAAGTGAATTACAAACTGTAGATGTTTCTAATATTCGGGTTTCATGAAATCGACGTTATTCCATCAACATTTATCAAAAAATATATAACAACATTTATCTAGTGGCACCCCTAGCGGCACCCTGGTTAAAATACGCCGTACTTGATTGTTAACATTTTGAGGGGGCAGATTGACCAGTCCGGGAGGGAATATATTCCTTGCCCCTTTAGAGCGGGAAAATGTTGCATTTTGAGGTGAAACGGAAGTTCATACTTTCTTTGTCTCTTTTCCTGTGTGTCTTCTATCTTTCACACCAATCTCCATCAATGATACAGATCTGAATATTCAAAAGCATTTTCGATAATTTGACCAGAAATTGGTAATACCAGCGAGATGTAAGTTTTTACAGATAAACCTACCTTAAAAAAAAAAAATCCTTATATATATATATATATCATTCACCAATGCCAGCACTATAACACAAAAAATGAACTCGTGCAAAGAGTTCAATGAGAACCCCTATAGGGGTAGCCTACTCTAAATGAATAATAGAGATACCCTCCAAAAAAGGAGGGAAACATGTTGTCACTGACTGAAGAAGCAGGGAACGGGGACATTTCCACCACATAATTCCTATTTAATTAACAACGTAATTATACCATTCCAATTTACAACATGATGAAGAATATAATAACAAGAAAAGATTGCACATAAAAACTTGCAGTCCAGATGTGAAGAATAGGATTAAGATTGTGACCAACGACCATAACTCGCAGACACTCGATTACAACAAATATGTCTTTGATCTCAGCTACTCAACTCATTTTTAGCTATAACCGCATATTGGCATGGCGAATTCAGCCATATGTCACAAAAACAGAAAATATCCAAGGTTTTAATAGAAAGGAGGAAGTAATAATACATCAGTTGAAACTAGGGAAGTGCAAATTAAATTATCATCAGCACATTAGTAATCAACATGAAGATGGACTATGCATCCATTGTATGGTTCAGAAACTGTAGAGCATTTTTTACTACAATGCAAGAAATATAAAGTTTAACATATGTGTATTTTACTTTCTTTCTTCAATTACTTGATGGTCGTATATACAATTTCCACCCCACTGCGCCATGAGTGTCATTTTTGACAGACATGGCGCATTATAAATGTTCACTATTATTAGTTATTATTATAAAAGAGAAAGAAGGATAATGCAAAGACGATTGAAAATGTAATACGTAAGATTTAGTAAAATTATTAGGGAATTTATCGGATTTTAGAGTCCTCTTAGATTATATTAAAGCTACAAACAGATTTTAAATGTTTGTATAGATCTAGTGCGTTTTCCTCTGTGAGTATGATTATGATTGAAATGTTTGAATATCATCAGTATTAAAATCATAAGGATGACAT